CTCTGTCTAAAAAAAAAAAAAAAAAAATTAGATCTTATTTCAGCTTATATTCACATTGTTATTTTTATGACTATTGTGTCTTCTAGATGTCGGGTATACAAATTCTCCCTTGGCACCTACATTCTGCACTCCTGGTTTGAAAATTCCTTCTACAAAGAGCAGCGCTGCTTTGGTAACTTGCCATAATAGTTAAGACTCTCCTCTTTCTCCTAACAATTCACACGCAGTATTACTTCCAGGCTCAGTCTGTTTTTAAAAATTTGGACTAATGCAGCTTTTAAGAATATGCTTGGAAGGTAATTTGGCAGCATAATCAAGAGCTTTTAAAATTTTTTCCACACCTTTTAATCACATCTCAGAATTTATTCTATGTAAGACAAATTGGGACAAAAATTTATAACAGAGATAGAGGAAGGAATAGCATTATTTGTGAGAGCAAAACATGGGAAACATTGTAAGTATCACGTGATAGAGAAAGTGCAGTTTCTCATATCTGTAAGATCTGGTGTTATTTAACATGTATTTTGGAAAACAGTTGAACATTTAAAAAGAATGTTTTCAAAAATTTAATCATATGGTGGCTCAGCACCTGTGGCTCAAGTGGCTAAGGTGCCAGCCACATACACCTAAGGTGGCAGGTTCGAATCCAGCCTGGGCCCGGCAAACAACAATGATAGCTGCAACAACAACAAAAAATAGCCGGATGTTGTGGCGGGCACCTGTGGTCCCAGCTACTTGGGAGCCTGAGGCAGGAGAATGGCTTGAGCCCAGGAGTTGGAGGTTGCTGTGAGCTGGGGTGCCATGGCACTCTACCTAGGGGGACAGCTTGAGGCTCTGTCTCAAAAAAAAAAATTAATCATATGGAAATGACGTGCATGTATACACACACATACTTACACATATTTTATTTTAAGAAAAAAGACTATATAGAAGAAACATACCTGGGCTGGGTGAGGTGGCTCACGGCTGTAATTCTAGCACTCTGGGAGACCAAGACTTATGGATTGCCTGAGCTCCCAGGTTGGAGACTAGCCTGAGCCAGAGCATTTTCATCTCTAAAAATAGCTGGGTGATGGGCACCTATAGTCTGATCTACTTGGGAGGCTGAGGCAAGTGAATTGCTTGAGCCCAAGAGTTTGCGGTTGTTGTGAGCTATGATGTCATGGCACTCTACCAAGGGCGACAAAGTGAGACTCTGTCTCCAAAAAGGAAAAAAAGAAGAAACATACCAAAATATGTGGTTATCTGTGGGTGGCAGATTTATGGGTGATTTTATGTTTTTCCCCCTCAGTGGACAAATTTAAACAGATCAAAACCTTATCCTTCTTTAAAGTCTTAGGAATATTTAAGACCACCAGTGGTGTAGATAACCAGTACTGTGTTAAGGTGTCCAATAGAGTTTCCTGTAACGATAGAAATGTTCTATAATTTGTACTTTGCAATATAGTAATCACTAATCACATACAGTTATTGAGCACTTGAAATGTGGGAAGTGTCGCTGAGGAACTAATACTTGATGTTTTTAATTTGATTTAATTTAATTAATTTAAAATTCAACATAAATAGCCCCATGTGGCTTGTAATACTGTTAATACATTGGACAGTACAGCTGTAGACAGTGTTTTTCATTAGTTGAAGTTTCAGTTTCTGCCTGCTGGCATTTGTTATTTGCAATTAACCTTTACGTGGGAGATGCCCTACTGAAGTAACACTCCCATCCTCTCTATTAACTTTGATTGTTGAGAGATGGGGTGACTTAGCCAGTTGGTCAGTGTACATGGGTGAACTGCTCATTCAACTCTGCCTCAGTCTTGTTAGTAATGAAGTGGTATTTTGTCCTCCTTATTCCATTTCTTTTTCTGGATTTTGTTTAGAACTTGATTTGCGACGGGGAGAGGGAGTCATTTGGGGGCCTACTTAGAGACCACAACAAAACTAACAAATGACTAATAATTTTTATTTACTATATTATTTTATACTACCATGATTTAATGATTTATTTTTATCAATAGGGATCCACAAATTATTCATTATCAAAAACAAATAGTTCATCAAATGATCTAAAAGTTAAAGATTGTACTTCGTTAATACTAAACTCCGACAAGTGCTTTGAGAATTTTGCGGATCCCTCTTCTCCTGCGATTTCTTCTTATGAGAATCTGCTCAGAACACCTACACCCCCAGAAGTAACTACCATTCCAGAAGATATTCTCCAGGTTATTTTTCCAGGCTATTTTATTTTTTCTATTCTTTTCAATGTTAGATATTTATATTAAAGATCTGAAACTTCATATATACTATCTTACTTGTCATTAGGCTAATGTGATAGTTTTACTATTGAGAAAAAATCTAAATTCTGAGTTTGTTAGGCCCTGAACTGAGCTGAGCACAAGCCAGGGACTTCGTGTTTTTAGTGATAATACCTTCATGGGCCTTTTTCTCTTTACCTTTAACTCCCATGTTCTGAAATGCATTCTAATATTTTCCAATACTTGTTCAACTGTGGTTTTCATGTTGATCATGGTTGAAAGTATTGCTGGCAAAGTCAGAAAGTCTTTTACCCTATAGTTCTCTGGAGTGGGGTATAATGAATAACTTATATCAGTGTTTCTTGAACTTTAAACATGGACCTCAATTTAAGAAACACCATTTGGGCTTGGTACTCATGGTTCAGTAGTTATGGCACCAGCCACATACACCAGGGCTGGCGGGTTCAAACCTGGCCTGGGCCTGCTAAACAATGACAACTACAACAAAAAATAGCCGGGCGTTGTGGCAGCACCTATAGTCTCAGCTACTTGGGAGGCTAAGGCAAGAGAATCACTTAAACCCAAGAGTTTGAGGTTGCTGTGAGTTGTGATGCCACAGCACTCTATCGAGGGTGACATAGTGAGATTCTGTCTCAAAAAAAAAAAACAAAACACCATTTGGTTTATATTAGAATATAGTCTTGCACCACATAACAATATTTCTGATTCAGTGATACATTATGACATATAAAGTCTGACAATTGCATTTGAGAACTAATCCTAGAAAAGTTGCTACATACTTCATTGCTGAATATCCTAGGGTCACCTTCAAAGTACTCCTGTTGGCAAGTTATGTGCCAACTCCAGCACCTAGTCCACCCTTCAAAGCAATTTGAGAACTTTTTCTAGAATGACCATCAGAGCTGTCATCATACAGGTCTGACAATTAAATTTGCATGTGCTTATGTTGGCAGCACTGTACAAACAATTCAGTAAGGCTTCATAACCTTGGTATATCAGTGTCTCACAGCTGTGTTCCATGTCAGCGTGTGGCAATGTCGTACTGAGTAGCATTCATTATTGTTGTTGCGTGTTTTTGTGTGCCATATGACAATATCTCTGACGGACATTCCAGAAAAAGAGTTCCAAAACTGCTTTGAAGGGTGAACTAGGTGCTGAGGTAGGTGCATATCTTCCCAAGGGGATTACTTCAAAGGTGACCTTAGTGATATTCTACAATGAGATGTGTAGTACTTTGTTCAGGATGAGTTCACAAACTTATTGTCATACCTTGTACATATGTATATGATGGTGGTCTCACAATATTATAATACTGTATTTTTACTGTACCTTTTAAATATGTAGATACAAAGATACTTACTATTGTGTTACAGTTGCCCATAATATTTAGCACAGTAATGTGCTGTGCAGGTGTGTGGCCTAGGAGCCATAGCATGTAGCCCAGGTGTGCAGTAGGCCATACCCCTGAGGTTTATGTAAACACAATGCTATAACATCTGCGCAATGATAAATCACCTAACAGCACATTCCTCAGAGTGTAACCCTGTTGCATGTTTTTTTGTGCCATATGACACTGTATCTGATGTGATGGTATATGCATAACATCCATTACCATTAGTCTACTACAGATTTATAACAACTGCTAACTTGAAATAACTAATGTGATTTTGGGGTTTTTTGGGGCAGTTTTTGGCCAGGGCTGGGTTTGAACCTGCCACCTCCGGCATATGGGGCCAGCGCCCTACTCTTTGAGCCACAAGCGCAGCCCTAGTGTGATTTTTTTACAGTCTCCCTCCATTTCCTTTTTTTTTTTCCCAAGAAACAGAATCTTGCTCTATTGCCCAGGCTAGAGTGTAGTGGCATGATCATAGCTCACTATAGTCTCCAACTCCTGACACACACACCCTCCCCTTAATAGAAGTTACAGTTTTGGGCAGTTATTACTTAAATATGTGGAATTCTTGGTAACCATTCTAGAAATCTTCCTGGCTTATAGTGTGCCATGAGAAGGATAAACTCAAACTTGGGAAAATATCCAAATGCCATTTGAACTGATCCTTCCTAGGATGTCAACAAAGTATTCAGTATCCATCTTTCTGTCTTTTTCTTCAGAGATATTTTACACTGGGCAAGGAAAAAGGAATGCCTTCTGTCTTTATGCGAGTCATATAGAAATTTCCACTGCCTCGTGGCTGATTCTTCTGTCTTATTTCTATGTGAAAGAAAGAAAACCTCATATTTAATGTCACCTTTTTTTTTCTTTTTTTGACACAGAGTCTCACTACATTGCCCTCAGTAGACAACCTCAAACTCTTGGGCTTAAGCGATTCTCTTGCCTCAGCCTCCCAAATAGCTGGGACTACAGGTGCCCGCCACAATGCCCAGCTTGTTGTTGTTGTTGTTGCAGTTGTCATTGTTGTTTAGCTGGCCCAGGCCAGGCTCAAACCCGCCAGCCTCCGTGTATGTGCTGGAGCCCTGCTCATTGAGCTAAGGGCACTGAGCCTAAAAAAATTCTTAGTCTTGGCACCCAGAGTTTAGTGGTTAGGGCACCAGCCACATACACCAGGACTGGCGGGTTCAAACCCACCTGCTAAACAACAATGACAATTGCAACAAAAAAATAGCTGGGTGCTGTGACAGGCGCCTTGTAGTCCCAGCTACTTGGGAGGCTGAGGCAAGAGAATCGCTTAAGCCCAAGAGTTTGAGGTTGCTGTGAGCTATGACTCCACAGCACTCTACCGAGGGCTATGTAGTAAGACTCTATCTCAAAAAAAAAAAAAAAAAAATTCATAGTGTTGGCCAGGTGCAGTGGCTCACACCTGTAGTCCTAGCACACTGGAAGCCGAGCTCAGGAGTTCAAGACCACCCTGAGTAAGAGCAAGACCCCTGTCTCCAGTAAAAGTAGAAAAAACTTGCCAGGCATTGTGATGAGCACGTAGTCCCATTGCTCCAGAGGCTGAAGCAAGCGGATTGCTTGATCCCAGGAGCGTCAGGTTGCTTTGAGCTAGGCTGATGCCACGCACTCTACCCAGGGTGACAGAGTGAGACTCTGTCTCAAAAACAAAAACAAAAAACATTTGTTGTGTTTATTTATAACCCAGATTTTGAAATTGTCCATGTTTTTTTTAACATAATACCTTCTGAATTAAGATTCTGTTCTTCATATAACTTGATAATAAGAAATTTGCCTTTTGTTTTAGATTTTATCAAAATACAACTCAAACCTAGCTACTCCAGTAGCAATTAAAGCAGTGCCACCCAGCAAAAGGGTCCTTAAACGTGATGGAGAGAACATCCAAGATATTGACAACAAAGAAAACTGGTGAGTATGTGACCATTGTAAAGAAATTCACGTGTTATTTGAGGAAGACATTTAAACATTAACATCTTAATGGTAGTAAAAATTTTGTTTTTAATTGACATTTATCAGTTTAGGTTAATAGCCTCTCTGTCTTTTAATATAGAACTTGTAAGCCTTGAATCCCAGACTTCCAGATTGTCACGTTTAATGATACCAGTATATCTTTAATGATACCAGAAATATCTTCAGCAATTTTGTAACTATAAAATATATAGTCACAACTGTCATGTTATTTGTTTTGTTGATGGCTTTTAGTTATACCTAATTGATATTTTTTATTTGTATCTGTTGCAGAACCAATGGATCATCCATTACAGAAACTGAGCAGGATGAGATGAAAACACATCTGGACTGACTTTGTTATTCACATTCCCCTACCTCTTTCTCCCTTTTTAAGACCAACTCATTTCAAAGAGGAACATGGACTTGAAGTCATCGTATGCTTTTTGTGATGTTTTGATTTGGTTTAACCTCTGTCTTGTTGACGTATGGTTTATTCAGTTGGTTTGGGGGGGGTTGTTAGTTTTGGGGGGGGTTTGGTTTGAAAAGGATTTATTTCTGGTTGTATGTGCCATTTTCACCAATACTTTTAAAAAGCAATATTAACAATTTTACTATAAAGTACAATCAAAGTAGAAGATAAAGTACCCAAATATCCCAATCATAGTTTTCCATCAGGGATTGGGTTCAGGTGATTTTTTTCTGAAAACGATTCTGGTGACCAAGCTCTTTTAGTTTCAGACATGGAAGGTGGACAATTTTCTGAACATAGAAGGCAACATTTGACTTCTGAACAAGCAGAAAGTCCAAGAACAGGGTACAACTGAGGGGCTTCTAGGACTTGAATGTCTGGACTTTTAGAAATCCAGCCTGGACTTTCAGTTACATTTAGGCGTTTTCTGTTTTGCAACCATAGTTATAAGCTTATTGTTTAACTTTTTAAAAACATTTATCAGTTCTTTGCCTGACACGTTTTAGTTTCCTTCTTGGTAACTCTTCTTCATCAGAGGAATTACGGGCAGCAAAACATTTCCATGCACATCTGAAAGGAATATTTTTTGTGCCATAAGAGGGAATCCATTCATCAATACTAATTTCAATGCACTCAAAATCTGAATAAAATATAGGTTATTTTTTGAAAGCTCCATTTATTCCATGAATTATTGTTTGGTGGAACGCTGTAATTGGATTTGACTGTGAATGTGAAACAGTCTTGACTACCTTCAAAATTATATTCTGGATCTGACTGAAATGAGGGGAAAAGCATGTTCTTGGGTGCCTGGAGGCAGATATGCTTCACAGGGATCATTTTTGTGAAGGCAGGCTGGAGTTTTCAGAAACTGATCTCAGTGAAAAATCAGACTCTGAAGGATGACTTTCTGCCAAAGATACCCCCCACTGTGATAAAATGTCCTGCGATTTTTTGGTAATTTCTGTTTCAGTGTCCATGTCTTTAGCAATATCATCAAAGATCAGCAAAAGCATTGTAGTTACCTGTATAACCAGGAGGATAGCTTTGTTATGTTACTATTGATATGTTCATAGGCTTTTCCTTCAATGTATTTGTACTTCTATTTAGACTAGTGCAAAGAGTTTCTAAAGGATACATGAGTTTCCTGCAAACTATAAACCTGTCATCTTGGTTCTTTGGCCACATATAAGATTGTATGTTTTTTAATTTGCAAAGATCAAAAACATTGTTGTACTTCCTAGAACTGAAAGTTGTCAACTTTTCATTCATTTCTGAAAGTGAGTTTTCTTGCCACCCATTAAAATATTTGATATTGGGCGGCACCAGTAGCTCAAGGAGTAGGGCGCTGGCCCCATATGCTCAGAGTGTCTGGTTCAGGCCCAGCTCCGGCCAAAACTGGAATTTAAAAAAAAAAAAATTGAGAGAAGGGGATTGTCACTCTCTGAAGTACCTGGTCTAAGTAGAATTTCGTCCCTTCGTGATAGAATTAATTTTTTTTTTCTTATAGAGACACAGAGTCTCACCTTATTACCCTTGGTAGAGTGCCATGGCGTCACACAGCTCTCAGCAACCTCCAACTCCTGGGCTTAGGAGATTCTCTCGCCTCAGCCTCCCAAGAAGCTGGGCCAACAGATGTCCGCCACAACACCTGGCTGTTTTTTTGTTGCAGTACAGCAGGGCCAGGTTTGAACCCGCCACCCTTGGTTTATAGGACCAGCACCCTACTCACTGAGCCACAGTCACCACCCTCGTGATAGAATTCTTACAGTCTTCTTAAGAGTAACTGTGGTTGGTGGGGCAAGGTGGCTCACATCTATAACCCTAGCACTCTGGGAGGCCGAGGTAGGTGGATTGCTTGAGCTTATGAGTTCAAGACCAGCCTGAGCAAAAATGAAACCCTGTCTCTACTAAAAAAAAAAAAATAGAAAAACTGAGGCAAGAGGATCGCTTAAGCCCAACAATTGGAGGTTGCTCTGAGCTATGATGCTATGGCACTCTACCCAGGGCAACAGCTTGAGACTCTGTCTCAAAAAAAAAAAAACGTCCAGAGAGGGTGCAAGAGAAAGTAGGTGAGGAAGTAAAAACTGCTATACACAGTTCTTTTAGCTAGATTTGCTAAAGAAAAAAGAAAGAAGGCTAGAGGGGTTGTGGAGCAAAGAGGTTATTTTAAGATGGGCAATAAAGTCGAGCATTTCTGATTGCCTGCAGCGTCTCTACTTGCTTTGTGATGACCCCTCAAAATTGTCCAAATTTCATCTTTCCCTGACCCTCTCCATTTTCCCCCTGTGATTCTAGTTTCTGTTCTTTAAAATTGTTATGCTGCCAGCTTCTTAAGCTCCAAACATTGGGATCTTTCAAGCATGTTTTCCCACTTTTTTTTTTTTTGATACAGTCTCACTTTGTTGCCCCTAGTAGAGTGCTGTGCTGTCACAGCTCACAGTAATGTCAGACTCCTGGGCTCAAGTGATTCTCTTGCCTTGGCCTCCCAAGTAGCTGGAATTACAGGTGCCCGCCACAATGCCCTGCTATTTTTAAAGATTGGGGGGGTCTTGCTCTTGTTCAGACTGGTCTTGAACCTGTGAGCTCAGGCAATCCACCCTCCTAAGCCTCCCAAGTGCTAGGATTACAAGACTAAGCAACCACGCCCGCCCTCCCCCACTACTCTTTTCCCTACTCTTTGAGCCACAGGCACCACCCCTGGAAATTGGTCTCCAAACATCCCTGGGATGTTCTCTCCTCTCCACCTTTTGCCTTGCCCCAATTCTCTCTTAGATTATTGCAGTAGTATCAGACACTCCTCTCTATCTTGAACTTTGGCCAAGAGTCAGTCAATACAGGCCATCCTTGGGTTACAAACAAGATAGGTTCTGTAGGTTAGTTCTTAAGTTAAACTTACACATAAGTTGGGACAGGTACATTACCCATTACCACTATGTTGCTATCGGTAGAGTGACAGTGGCTCACAGCTCACAGCAACTTCAAAATTCTTGTGCTTAAGCAATTCTCTTGCCTCAGCCTCCCAAGTAGCTGGGACTACAGGCACCTGCCACAACACCTGGCTATTTCTTGGGACACTTTTCTACCTTTTATCATCTTCCTTCCTTGCCAGACTTCCTGAGGAAGTATCTCCATCCATGTGGATTGGTCTTTGTATTGCTGCTGGCCCATGGCACATGGGGGATTGTACTGTATGTTTATCAGACATTCATTTTGTAAGCCATTCTGGCAAAGTACCAGAAGGTATGAGGGGAGTTAATCAGGAATACTGCAAATTTTCTGCCCATTTCCAATGGTTACTATTTTTTTTTTTTTTTTTTTTTTTTTGGAGACAGGGAACCCCTGGGTAGAGTCCCGTGGCATGACATCCTCCAGGTCCCTCCGTGTGGCAGCATGTGCCAGGTTTCCC